GTTCAGTATGTGTTAGGTGAACACGTGTATTCGTTTCCCAGGGCTGAAAATTTTAAAAATCGGGGCACCTGGGTGGCTCAGTCAGTTGCGCGTCAGACTCTTGATTTCAGGTCAGGTCACGATCTCGCAATCATGAGATCGAGCCCCACAGCGGGCTCTGCACTGGTCACGGAGCCTGCTTAAGAGTCTTTCTTTCCCTCTCCCTCTGCCCTTTTCTCTCTATCAAAAAAGAAAGAATTAAAAATCGGAGCTAAGTATTTTCTTCCACCCCCCACGTACCCCCTTGGGGCACACTCAAACCCCTCTGAAGAACGCTGGTCCAGGGTCCATTCTGCTGAGGTTCGCATTCCTTCCTTCGCCTATCGGTAAACCCTCAGTGACTTGAGTCATTTTTTTTCTTTTTTTTTTTTAATTTAAACTTTAGTTAACATGCAGTGCAATATTGGTTTCTGGAGTAGATTTCGGTGATTCATCACTTACATACAACACCCAGTGCTCATCACAAGCCGCAAACCCGGATCCAAGTCGAGGTTCCTGGAGAACGCTCCCCCCGCCCCGTCCCTTGGGTAAATACACACTGGCGTGACAATACGCTTTTTCCCAGCTAGACCCCCTTGGGATCAGTTGTTAACGTTTTATTATCAGACTTCAACACTTCGGCATGTCATTCATATACATATTGCTGTGACACAAAAACAGAACTTATGTTTTTATGAACTTTATGAAATGCGCTGGGCGCACAGAAGCTTTGGTGTCCATGAGGTTTTTGACCGTGTGCACCCTTTGGAGTAAAGACATTGCATGCGTCCCCGATTATAGACTGGGCATTTATCTTATAATTCTATTGGGCGAAAATTTTATACAGTAATAATAGTAAAGTGGAGAGTGCTCTATAGATATATATACTATATATGTATCATTATTTATAGATAATTATTTATATATATACACACACATGTAGATATTGTCTCGTGTATAATATAGAAACTTTTACTTTTACATATGTCATAGGACACAAAATAGAAATAAAAGAATGAATGGAAACAACATAAGACAGGGTTGAAGTCTAGCTCACACAATTTCACCCTGCACAAGATTTTTGAATATACTTTTAAAATTAGTCCTATGAAGGTGTGCAGTACTCATGGGTCTGCCAGGAATTTGGTTTTCAGAGAGTTCCCCATGAGCTTTGTGTTATGAAACTAGCGAATGCTGACCAAAGAGTTAAAGGTTTGAAGCTCCAAGTGGCTATGCCTCCCCAAAGCTAGCCATCTCTAACCTGTTTGTTTTATGCCTACTTTCCTCTCAGACCAGCCACACCACGGGTCTGGTCAGCCGCTGCATCGGCAGGAGCTCTTGGGGGCAAACTTTGTCGGCTGATCGGAACAGTAAGAGGCATTGGGGCATGCGCTGGCTCAGCTTTCTTTTAAGGGATGGCTTTCTTTTGTCCTTGTTACCAGATATTTGGTTTCGACCAATGTTCCACTTCAGTTATGGTATTATCCAGTGATAAAAAAGAACACATTGTTCGGCGTGTGGCAATCAGATTCTCACTGAACCGCCCCGTCTCCTCCCGCAGGCAGCAAAACCTCCCGAAAAAGGTGAAAGTTAATAGAGAATCCAATCTGGCACTTTCTCTAGTGACTTCACTAAAGTGTTCGTATGTTAGGTGAACACGCAGCTCGCTTCAGGGCTGAAAATTTTAAAAAATCACAGGCCAACAATGGTTATGACTTGATTTCAGGTCACACGATCTCAAGAATCATGAGATCGAGCCTCATTGAATGCCTGGCTCACTGAGCCTGCTTAAGAGTCTTTCTTTTCCCTTCTCCCCTCTGTCTCTTTCTATCAAAAAAAAAAGAAAGAATTGGGTAAAAACGTGCGGGAGCTTGCATTTTTCCACCCCAGGACTCTTAGTGCGGCACCTTTTACATGATGAGCATGACAGACACACACCACATTCATACCTCCCAGAATTTGAAGAATCTGTCCAAACGGCCTTTGGTCCAGGGTCCATTCTGTTGAGGTTGTTCAGATCATTCTTCCTTTTTCGCTTTATCGTAAACCTCAGTGACTTGAAGATTATTAAAAAAAAAGCTTTTTTTTTTTTTTTAATTTAAACTTTTAGTTAACAATATGTAGTGTATTCATCACTTACATACAACACCTAGGTGCTCATCACAACAAGTCGCCTGTCACCCAGAAATAGCCCACTCCCTCCTCCATCAACTAAGGTTTAATTCTCTTTCTATTATTATTGTGCCTGTCTTTAGAGCTTTTTGAGCGACACTTCTCACATTTACAAAAAGTGCCTTCCCCTTGTCGTTCCTTCCTTCCGTCACCCATCTAGCCCCACCCCCCCCCCCCCCAGCAGGCGGCACCTCCCTCCTCCATCATCAACTTCTC